GAAAGCAAAACACTGTGAAATGCTTAGCTGTATTCCCTGCACAGGGGTAGGGATTATCTTCAAAGCACCTCACCGTTCCTAAGAAGAAGGTCAGAGATAAGCTACTGTGACATCCATTAAGCAACCTAGGTTGATTTTCCTTCAGCAAGGACTTTGTCACATGGGCTTTATGCTTGACCTCCAAATTTGGCTGAAATTTACTGATAAGATTCACAAATTTTGGGTTACTCTGCTATTTTTACATATTTGTGAGTTCTGGCGCACACCCTGGAAGGCTACAATATCTTGGATCCAGCATGCTGCAAGAATGTGTGGATGACCAAGAATTTCATTGTACCCAGGCATTCTTGACATCCTAGACATGTCCCTAACATTCTAGGCATTCCTCAGAAAAGCCTCCTGGAAAGTGCCATACTGAGATTTGATTGTCCTCAAACTTCATCCTCACTCAGGGCACTCTAATACTCTTCTCAAGCTTTCTTGATCCTTTCTGTGCTTTCTTTAAAGAAAGAACAATTTTCTGGCCCTTCTTGGACTGCTTTCAGCAGTGCACTAGCATTATCATCATAATCCAGTTACAAACAAGGGGAAGATCATGGGCTCCTTTTCCCCATTGTCCAGAATCTGTGTGTTTTCCATTGCCACTTGTGAGGCTCAGCTGAATCAGGATTTATTTCAATGGCTCTGTCACAGTCTCAATTGGCAGCATTCGGATTCCATAATTTGTTGAAGAAGCAGGCTCTCTTGGCATACAGTATGGCCATCCAATGATTTACCTTGATGACATCTATGAACAAGTAAATGTCTTTCTTTAATTCACCACCATTTAATACTTCCATGCCAGTCTCTTTCTTTTCATTTGCTTAACCCATCATCTCTTCAGTTATCTCTAGATTTGCATCTCCCACTTCTTTGGGCCGTCAGCATCTGGGTCAATTACACCTTCATTGTCCATTTCTACATCACTTTCCTCATCATGATTCATCGTCTTTTTGTTTTCCTCTGTCCTGTTCTGTTTTATATTCCTTGATATTTTCCCCATGCTCTGTACCCACTCCCTCAGGAAGCACATCTCCTCAGTGTGCAATATGCTCAGATTCTGCTTACACATTTTCATTAAGGCCTGAAACTTGCTCACTTTGCTAGGATCCATGGTGGACAGATGGTGGACAATGGCTGGGTTGGCCTTGGCAGGATTCCAGGCTTGGCCGATGCATCAGCTTGACCATGTTGAAGGTGCTGTATGTAATGTTGAAGATTTGATACATAAGATTTTGACACATAAATGAAGATTTGAAGCATCCAATGTGGTATTATAAGATAATTGGTTACAACAGACTAGATGTAAACATACCAATGTGAAAGAATTTTCTGCATATAACTGAATGAAGGAAAAGCAAGACAAGGAACATATTCAGTTTTCTAATACCTTCAAGGTAAATTTAAAATGTATACAAACATAACAGTGATATGCATATTACACTAACACATACAAATACATAGAATTATATTAGAATGGTTTTTTATGAGTCATTAAATGGTCTTTTATGGGGAAAATAGAGGGAGTGAGAAAGGAAAAGAACATATATAGATGAATTAGAGAGAAGAGAAGGGCAGTAGGGAGAGAGAGCGGGAAGGATAGAAACAGGGAGGGAGGATGGAAGAGAAGAAAAAAGGAGAATATTTGACATGACAAATAAAGGTGTCAAGTCAGAATACCAGCATCTACCCACATCAACAAAACCAAATAAAAAGCAATGCTGTCCTTTAAAATTTTTGACATGTACCACTGTCTAGTGATCTGGGCCACAATTCAGCAAAAATAGTGTGAAAACAAAAGTCAACTTACCAGCTGTTTATGTAACCCATTAGCAAAAAAACATTTTAAACAACTAAATTTTAAGTAATCCTATAAGTCATATCTAATATTCTTGGATTTTTTTCTTTTAGACTAACAAAGCCCAAAATATTTAATATGGTATTTTAAGAAACAGTTTGCTGTCGCTTGATGCAGATTATTGAAAGATAAAATAATTATTAGCTATTCTTTGCTTTGCAAGACTTGTAATGAAAGCTATGAGAAATGATTTAGGAACAGTTTTTGCAGAGGCCACAGAAGGAATCTGTCACTGAATGGAAAACCCCAAAGTAGAATATGGAGAAATGTGCTACTGGTGAACTAAAAAATATTAGATTAAGGTAGATAAAAAAAAGATTCCTCAGAGGACAGCTTAAGGAATAAACATAATAGCACTACAGCACAAAGATTTAGCAGATTGTGTTGTCCAAAATGGACATAACAGATCTTCCATGACACAGATTTTCTTACAATACGATGTTACAGCATTCCAATGACAAGTAGGGTCTATTCTCCTCCTTGAATCTAAGCATGCCAGTGACCATGAAGACAATGATGCCATTCACTTCCACGGCTAGGTCATAAAAGGTGGTAGAGTTTACATATTATTTTCTTGAGTTAGTTTCCCTTAGAACCCAGGCACTCCGTGCTGAGTAAACCAAGAACTCATATATAGGCCTTGAGTAAGATTTCTGATGAACATCACCAAATGAGGTTCCAGCTGTCAGCTGGCATCAACTATCAGATATCTAAGTGAGAAGGCTTTCAGGATTCCTTCAGTCCTAACCACTATTCAACTACAATACACATGGAAGACTCCAAGCAAGAGCTCTGAGAGATAATGACAAACTGATTATTGTGATTTAAAGCAACTAAATTTGTAGGTAATTTATTGCTGTTTTATTTTGGTTTGTGTAACAATCACTAATTAGTATAACTATTCATAGTCTGTTTTACTGGAGAGTAAAAGAATATGCAAACATTATTTAATATATTAGCAAATCAGCCCTGTGCTGAGAAGACACTGCTGCAAATGGCTACTTGTCCTACCTGATTTCATGATACCTTGGCAGAAGGAGATATCGCAGGAAGTTGCTGGCTACAGCTGATTTGTGGAGCTTCCTGAACAGAAAGAAATGTGGAGGAATTGGAATTTAACAGACCATGACAAATATTTATTAAAGCTGGTTGTTATTGTCTGAATATGAAATGTCCTCCAAAAGTCTCACTTGTTAAAGGCTTGGTCCCTGGCACATGTGGATATTGGGGAAGTGCTTGGAACATGAGGTCTCTTCCTTCTTCAAAGGTTTAATGATTTGATTAATTCACAATTTGACTGAATTAATGGAAAAAGTTGGAAAATTTGAGGGCAGGGCCTGGCTGGAGGAAGTTGGTCACTGGGAAATGCTCTTCAGTGCTAGTCCTTGTTGGACTCCTTTCCTTGGATTTTCATTGCTTCCCCACTGCCATGGGTGACCAGTTGTGCTTTATCATGCCCTCTCCACCATGATGTTCTGCCTCACTCAGGACTACAACAATGGAGCCAGCTGACTACCCACAGTCTGAAATATTCTTCCTTCCTTACATTGTCTTTCTAGGTATTTTTTCCCAGAGATGAAACACTGAATAAAGCAACTATTTTTCCTAATCCAGTAGATACAGCCCCAATGAGCCAAAAATGGAACTAATAATATAACACAAATCTCTTTACCTTGTGCAAATTCCATTTGTCAGTTCTTATTCATACCTCCTGAGCAACTGGTGGCCTACTGAAAAGGAGTTACCTATGCCTGTAACTTCAAGAGTCTTACCTATGTTTTTCTATAATAGTTTCAAAGTTTCAGGCCTTAAAGTTAGATATTTTGGATTGATTTTATACAAAGTGACAGACTAGAGTTCTAGGATCAGTCTTCTAAATGTGAATATCCAGTTTTCCCAGCACCGTGTGTTCAAGTGGGAGTCTTTTCTCCAACTGTGTTTTTTGGCACCTTTGCCAACAATCAGATGGCTATAGCTGTGCAGGCTTCTTTCTAGGTGTTTTACTCTATTCCATTGGACTATTTGTCTTTTTCTTTGTCAGTATCATGCTGTTTTTGTTACTATGGCTCTATAGTATAATTTAAGTCAGCATTGTTTAGGATTGCATTGGTTATTTGGGGTCTTTTGAGATTCTGTATGAATTTTACAATTGGTTTTTCTATTTCTAAAAAAATGACCTTGGAATTTTTCTGGGAATTGCATTGAGATTGAGCTTGGTTCTGGTAGTACAGACATTTTCAAAATGATAATTCTGCCTGTTCATGAGCATAGGAACTCTTTCTGTCTTCTAGTGTCTTTTTCAATTTTTCTTCAAGGTTTCATAGTTTTCATTTAGAGGCCTTTCACATATTCATTAAGTTTATTTCTAGATATTAACTTTTTGAAGCTTTTGTAAATGGTATTACTTTCCTGATTTCTTTCTCAGCCTGTTCATGGTTACTCTAGGGGTCTAATAAAATATAAGAAATTATGTGAATTTTCATGTATTGGCTAAGACTTGATTTATGTCCTAAGATATGATGTATATCAGAGAAAGTTCCATGGGCTGCTGAGAAAAATGTGTTTCCTAGTCTGTGTCTTTCAGAGAACAGATACGATGAACATGCAGAATTATTATTAAAAGATACAATTCTTAGAAGTATCTTTTGCAGTGCAGGTGTAGTGATCATGAATCACTTTAGTTTCTGTTTATTTTGGAAGGACCTTATTTCTCCTTTGATTATAAGGGATATTTTTCCAGGTACAGTAACCTAGGTTTGCAGTTATCTTTTTTCAGGGCTTAGAATATATTAATCCATGTCCTCTTTGCATTTAAAGTTCTGTTGAGAAATCTGCTGTGCCTCTGATAGGTTTGCCTTTCAAGGTGTTTTCATACTTGTGTCTTGCACTTTTCAATACAATTTCCTCATTCTGGATGTCTAATGAACTAGCTTTAATATGAAATAAGAAGGATGTTTTCTGGTAAAGGGAGTCTGAAAGGCCTATGCCCCACCTAGCAACAAACAAAGATAGCCTGAATACAGGCACTAGAGGCTGAATACCATGCTGGTTGTTTGTTTTCATGTGACCCTGAGGTGACTGGACTTGGACTTTATAAGGGAACATGTGGCCTGCCACCAGTATATCCTTCACTGCAGTGGATCCCACTTGCTTCTCTGCAGGACCAGGTAAGACTCTCTCCCTCTACTTGACCATCTTTCAATGCCATCTCTCACCAACACACTTTGATAGGGTTCCCTCTACTCCTGAGCCATGACTATTGCTTGTTCTCTAGCCACCAGAGAATCTCAGTCTCAATCCATAGCCTTAACCAACCCTTTCTCAAGAAGTCACCTTACTGTGACAGTCTGAGATGAGGGAAGTGCCAAAATGTCTACCTTCACAAAGGCTAGCCTTCTACACCAGAGCAGTCATTGTTTCCCAAATCCCTTCATTGGATTTAAGGAGGTGTGGGCTTATCTTGCAGCTAGAATTTCCAGTTTGTTGTCAGGTCCCTCTGACTGACCTTGTGATTGGGTCTTCAGCTTGCCCTCTGCCTCCCATGGAGCCAAGGATCCGCTTGAAACTGTTTGCTGTTTTTCTCTGTTGCCTAGATTTCTCTGTGCTTTTCTGATGTCTGCCACATCTCTTTAGTGATCCCAATGATTTTCTTCTCTTTCTGTCTTCAGAACATAGTGCTTCTTGTGTAACCTGACTCTCTCAATCACAGAGTAAAAATGGTAGGTGCTTCTGATCCACCATCTTACACCTCCCTCCACCACTGTCAGTCATTACAGTATATTTTCTTGCACATAAGTTTCTGCAGGGAAAAGGTAATGTAGGACTACATTAACTTCTCTACTATACAGCTTTGCTGTCCTAATAATTCAGACTTTCCTTGTCTAAGGAGAAAAATGGATACCCACCATAAGTCTATAGTATCCCAACCCCACATTTAGAATGATAGAGCTTATAGATCATCATATTTGATGCTTAAGATTCAAAATCTACCTTTGCTTAAGCTAAGACAATGAGAAAAAGTAGTTTCTCAGATACATTATTCTTTGTGAAGATTTCTAAGTCTCCATATCAGCACTTAGATAATTGTTAAAGCACATATGACACTAACATTTACAGATAGAAAAAGCAAATGCCATGGGAAGAGATTACTTTTTAAATTTTCTCATCTGTCAATCTTCCCTCAAAGATACTGAAATTGAAAGTAAAGGTCTTACCTGATGTAGATACATGGACTTAATAATTAGAGAAAGTTATCAATGATTCATTGTTATTCATCATAATCATTTCATTTAGGAATTGTCTAAGAGGTAAGAGAACTTCTTGAGCCAATGGATAATGATTGTTTTTGTCATCTTGTCCCAGGGTGCTCTAAGGTCAAGGAAAGTAGGTGGGTCATACATTAGTTAGTAACAGCTTATCATCTGATAGGAAAGAATAGAAATAATTGACTGGAATTGGAGTTTATTACATCCTGTATTGGGATCTTTGTAAATATATATGTGTACAATGTATACATTTGCCCTGAAAACCTACTATTGTTCCTTGAAAATAAATTCTCTAGGGTCAGGGTTGATATCTTGCTTACCTTAGATGTGGGTAAACATCAATAAGTATAAATATTTCATTCCTGAACTTTCTTCACATCCATCCAAATTCCTCTTTAAACAATACCCTCCTGCATCTAACTTGACTAAATACAAATTATTTTTTCTATCCTCTTTATTTTTAGTGCCTCTGAACCTCTGTTTCTTAAACTGTGAATTGAGATAATGATACAACTTCATATATATATGAGATAAACTTTCAACTTTATGTATATATAAATATACATATATATATAAATACACACACACACATTTAAAAACACTATACATAATATACATATATATTGAAAACAAAGGATTTATTGGGAATAAAAATAAGAGAGAATACATTTTATAAAACAAAGTATGATATAGATATATCATTGAAAATGGACTAAATAGAATTTGTAAAAGCAAGAAAAAACAAGAGTTCAATCAGAGCATAATCAGAATTTATTTTGTATCTTCTGATATAACGACATACATTTTTAAAACTCAATTGATTTAACAATCTTGAATGAGAAATTAAACAACTCACAATACATAAGACCATTTTAAGTTAAATATAATGCTACATTTTCTGAAATTGCAGAGAACTAAAGGTAAATTTTAAAGTAATGGGGTTCTATAGTTTTATACATCTTCACCCCAGCTAGTCTAAAGATCTCACATTCATCAGTTTTCTCATTTCTTTTTGTTCTAATTAATCAAAATCCTTCATTTCAGGCCAGTGTGTCTTCCCAAATATGAATAAGAAATAAAATAGCATTTGGTGTTTGAGATTTTGGGAGTCATTTTATGACAGAAATGGGTTACTAGAAAGGGAGAATGTCTGATTAAATATATTCATAAACACGTCAGAGGTTTATAAGCCAACATCTTCACAGGAGAAAGTTGTACATCTCCCAGGTCTTCTTGGGTGAAGTGTGTTCCTGAATGACCACCACCATGGAGCAAGCAGTCATCATGGAAAGGTATGTGCAACTGCTCAATGGCTTTGTGAACAATCTGGTGCTTGAGGTAAAATAATGTGAAATTTTAGGTAATAACAAAAAGTTTAAGGCACACAGGGTTATAAGAACCATCTAAGGGCACAATGGAATAGGTCAGTCATTCTTGAAGGGGATCCTCCTTCTCTTAGAGACATTTTGCATTGTCTACATTGAGGTAAGGCAGGAAAGGGTAAGATTATACTGGTGTCCAATGGGTAGAAACCAAGGGGTTTGCCATATATCCTCCAACGCATTCTCCAAGGTAGCTCCCAGAGCATGAAATAACCCAACTCAAAAGACCAATGATTCTGAGATCAAGAACTATACTAGAATAAGACCTCAAGGGTTTATACATCCACATTGTCATACATCAGAAGAAAAAAATTCACACTTTCTGGCTCCCAGATCTCTTACCTGAGTTACACCATTTGAATCAACCTGATGAAACAATTCTGAGTCATAATTCAGACAATGTTAACAAATATGCATCTGATACTGCTTTGTCAATTTGGTTCAAGCCAAATGACATTTCACCAGGAAAAACAAGCAAGGGCTAACTAATAGTCTGCACTTTCTTGGTAATATTTTCTTTTTTCTTTTTTTTCCTTTTCTTTTTCTTTCTACTTTTGGTAGTACTATGGCTTGAATTCAGGGCCTCATACTTGCAAGGCAGGCGCTCTACCACTTGGACCACTGCACCAGGCTTTGATGACATTTTCAAGAAAAAAAGTTACTACTAACAACAAAATTTGTTTTATGAAATGAATAATAAAAATATTTATCTATTTTAACTCATCGTAGACTATGGTCTTTAACATTGCATTGTTTTATCTTAGACATTTCCAATTCCATCTGTCAAAGATTTTGTGGAACTGAGAAATACATGTTTATATCAGAAGTTCTTAGAATCATGTCACTATGTTAAAGAGTGATATTAATTTGGCACGTATGTGATGTTTCTTTCCTTTCAGAGTGTAAATTATTGATATGCTAATGATAGATATGTGTCCATCTGCTGAGACAGCAAAGGGATGATAAAACCACCACTGATCCTTGTTAAGATTTTTAATGTGGGTGTTTGATAGAGCAGGAAAATGGGATAAAATCAAGTTACCTAAGGCCTCTGTATAATAAAGGCAGAGTGTTGTTCTTTAAAAGTAGTGGTAACAACCTCTACAAACACTGATCTCAGGAATAATGATGTGGTCCCTGATACACATGCAAAGTGAGGGCCCACAGGTGTGTATGATGTGACAAGGTGAAGACAAAGACCATGGTGTTGGTGTTCTGCCTGCCCAACCTGCTAATAAAGGGAGGGGAATCATTTAACCTCTGAGCATTCTATTTCATCAATATGATTTAGTGATTACTAAGAAGGCACAGTCTATTCACAGGAGCATTGTAAAGCCCAAATTTCAAAAGAAAAAATCTCAACGGTTTGGCAAATTTTCAGACAAATGTGTGGGATTATAATGGTGAGTTAGCCACCAAGCCTCCAGCATTATTTTTATGATAGGATTCTTTTCATAATCCATATTAGCAATCAAGCATTCATGAGTTTATTCTTGTCAGCCATGAAGATGAAACACACAGATGAACTACACTGCCTTTTTCACATCAGTGCCAGAAATGCAAATATTGGACATTGACTTAAAAAATTGTAAACTCTGACAACCAAAAATCTGCAGAAACACCCAACACATTAGATTATCTTGAGAATGACTTAAACACCCTGCTTCAGAATTAATTTAAGCTCCAAATGTTTGCAAACTATACAAGCCCTTCTGGAAGCAATATAGAAATGCAGGAAGTCACCCACTTCTCAAACTACATATCTGTACAAATACAATTATATATCTAAATTGACACAGTGGAAGGTGTTGCTTCTTCTCCCACACCAGCTGTACTAGCAATTCCTGTAGAAAAGGACAGTGCTGAGGGAGAAAGTTTCCCACAGCAGAATTACATCTGATAACCTCGGCAGAATAGATCATCTCAAAGTGGGTTGTGTTTTTGTTTACACAGGATCACTCCTGCTGCTGCTGGTGTTAAACCTCCTTCTCTGCAAGAATGTGGCTGCCAGCCCTGCCTGTGCAGGTGGGGCTGCGAACTGCCGCTTGAGCCTCCAAGACCTGTTCACCCGTGCAGTCGCCCTGTCTGACAACATCTATAAAGTTGCTGAAGACACATTCAGGGACTTTGTAAGTATCCCACTCATTGCTTCTTCCCAAAAGAAGCCTTCATGCCAATGACATGACTGTATGAAATTTAATAAAGTAAATCTCATGAACCAAATTGTAAACAATATACCTTTAAGTAAAAGAAGGCATCAGATAATAAAAGGTGGAAAAAAGGGAAAAGCACCAATATTCAAAAAAGCTCAAAGATTCTCGAAGAATGTAATGATTTTTATAGATTTTCTTTAATTTATCTATTCAATAAAAATCCAAAACCTTGGCATAAAGCCATTTTTAGGTTAGAAGAAGAGTCAGATTTTTGTTCTTAGAAGTCAGTCTCCCTGGGCATTCTGTATTCGGCATTCTGTAGATATTCAATAAACGACAATTGCATTGGATTGAACTGGGTGGATGGAATAGAATTAGGCTGAACTGAAGCCATGTCAGAAGGGGGAAATGCCAAACCAAAAAGAAAAAAAAAAGGCTTTTCAGAATCCCCAAATGCTAGGAATCATTGTTTTAAGATTTCCAGTGCATGTGATAATTACAACACAAAGGCTGGTTTACAATTGGAAACAGAGTTTTTCTTCCTGATGAAGGTACTTTGAAAGTTGTATTTTAGGTCTTCTAAGTCAGGCAAGGAGCCCACCATACATTAGGGCTTCAGTATATCATTGGGCCTCCAGAGAATACGACTCAATATTTGCAATAAATATATATTCATAAAATTATTTTCATTCACTAGTTTTTCATTTATTCCTGGTTTTTGTCTGACTATCCTTTATCTTTCACATCTTCCTAGTAATCATTTCAAATTTTCAAAACATTTGCAAATATTACTTTTAAACCATGAATTTTACTATTTTTTCCAGTTTTTAATCTGTTCACATCTTTATATTTCCTGAAAGTTATGCTCTGTTACTTTCGACCTATTGTGTCACAACCAGTAATTTTGAATTTTGAATTCTTGATAAACTTGGTGAGGTACAGCTATGTGTATTCAGAGGTAATTGAAAGAAAAATTGTAATTTTATAATGTCTACTTAAATGAAGCATATCTGTTGGACACACAAGAAATAAGAGACTAAATGGATAAACAGATACTTATGTACTTTGGCATTTGGTATTTAAAACACTTGACGGTTTGTAGTTTAGCAGCATTTAGTGTTTGCTTTTCAAATAGCAACCCATAAGAATGGTGAAAGGAAGGTTATAACAATACAGGAATAGTAAAGAAGAGAAGAAGTTCAAAGTTTGAAAAGTTAGAAGAAAACAATGACATTACAAACTAATTGCAAAAAAAGTAGGGAAAAGGACTTGTTTGTTAATTCCTTAGGCTCAATATTATGCAGTGCATTTTTTGAGAAAATTACACATCTACCAACTGTATGAATATTCTGTTAATGGATTAGCTTATTCAATTTCTAAGCTATAACAAATTGAATTTTCTCTATCATTTCTAGCAAAAAACATATGCCACTGGCCAGGAGTTCATTTCCAGGGCCATCAACAGCTGCCACACTTCTTCCATTCCTACTCCAGCAGACAAGGACCAAGCCCTAAATACCAAGGTAAGTCTTAAGCCCAGGTTTTCCACCAAAACAGCTGAGGCAGCATTCTAGGGTTGCTGTACCATAAATTATTAGAGTCACTAAAATAAGTATAGTAAACACATGTGCAGAGGAAAAGAACACAATCTAAGAAAGTTTACATTATATAGCTGATAAATTGTCTAGATTTTCAAGACTCTTCAGGTTCTACATCTACTTCTACCACTTACTTCCTCATTCTTCCCTGACTCTTCTGTCTCACGCTGCATCTTAACAGAAATACACCATACCAAGTAGGTCCTACTAAATATTATGCTTCTTGTAGCAGCAACTATAGTCTCTGTTCTGATATCAACAAAATCTACATATCAACCCAGCTCCAGTTTTTTATTGTTCTAATCTCTCCTTTCTGAAATAATGCCCAAACAGTCCAAACATAGTTTAAAGTAAACATCATACACATGATATGTGTATATGTATATATATATGTATATGTGTGTGTGTATATATACATACCACCACAAATAGTCATTTCTTTAAATAAACCAGTTTTGTAACTTTAACAATACCTTACAGTTTCCTTTTCTAAAAATTGTATTATCTACAGAAAATTTTTACATACACATTGGAATAACAAAGAGATATTTTAGTTCAATTTAGCACAAAAGTTACATGTTACCAACCCCGCTGTTTTTCACTTCCTTTAATGTGATGTTCAATATGCTTAATCAGTCTGGAACACTTCTGAGTACAGTCCGAGGCTTATTGCGCTCCTGGGAAGACCCTCTGCAGCACCTGACCACCACAGTGAGGGATATGAAAGAATTCCCAGCGGATTTGATTAGAAGAGTCCAAGAGATTGAGTATAAAACCCATCAACTTCGAGAGGGCGTGGAGAAGATAATCAAACAGGTGAGCAATCTTTGATATTTCTTTGATTTTCTCATCAATGAAAGAGGCAACCTCTGTGATGGGAAATGGGGTTTAAATTCCTCACTTTGCTAGAACAAATTTAGGTATCCCATGGTGTATCTACACTAGGCCAGGCCTTTTGACCCAAAGTGTGAGATCCTGATGTACATCAACCTTACTAATAGCTTTCCTTATTTGACAGGTGTATCCCTTCCTACACTGTCCACAAATCCAGCAAACTTTCCCTTTCCCTGGGAATGGGATAAAATATTTTTCAGAGAAAAAAAAATTCAGAGAATAGAATCTGCAAGATAAATGCTCTCTTCAAAGTATCTAAGACACATGCATTGAACTACTGGTAGATTCTTTCTTCATTCTACTCACACCAGAGTATTAGAGTGGGAAGAGAGGAGAAAATCAAAATCACACTGGACTGTAGCTCCCTCCCTGCCCCATCACCAAGGAAAGATTGAAAAGAAGAGGCCAGAGCTTCAATGTTGTCTCACAATACTAGATGTAACAAAAGGAAGGGTGTGTTTTTTCTGGAATTCTCCTAATTTCATAATATCTAGAAAAATATTTCATCATAAACCTTATTTTGCTTGGGGATCCAAATGTAAATTCTTATCATTATAAATAAGCATTCCAAATAATTCATCATATTTAGATTAAATTAGTATTTTCAGTATTATCTCCATTCAGATAGGATAATTTCAACTTTAGTGAGATTCCAGATTTCTGAAATTTTCAGAAATAATGTGCCATCTAAAGAAAAACATATGTCTATAGAAGTAATAGCAGAAGCAATTTTACACTTCTTTTTGTGTACTAAGTACATGGTATCATGTGTCATTTTTGTCATTTTCATGGGAGAAGACTACAAATCTAAGCAAAAACACAACAAATACAAAGAGCACATTAACCCAGCAACCTATGAAATAAACGCCTTGATTTTCAATTTATTTTCTTTATTAGTTTAACCTACTTTCTGATGTAGTTAAGGTGCTCCATAATGCTTTATTTTTCTGTTCCTTTTTTCCTCCCACTTCTTTATTTAATTATGTTAATGTCATTATACCTCCCACAATAAATATTCCCAACAATTTTCTCAAAATATTTTTCATTGAATATAAAAAGCTTAAAGCCAGAAAATAGTCATAAATTCTGATAGGTAATCTGATATATAAAAAAATGTGCTTACTCTGTAAGAGAAAGGTCTGCAAATAAAAATCTACAATTATCTCAGACTGGTACCTAGTTGGCTCTCTAACTCAGAAGTCCTTAAAGTACAAAGATAGTTCCTTTCTGCTTTTTCACCTGACTACTCCTGTATGAACATAATTAATCTGTGATCTCTCTGATGCCAGAAAACTTATACATATGTCCTACTCTTAATTTTATTACATGCTGATCTAGATACACAAAAATCTATGACTTTGGCTTATGTTTTCCATTCCTATATCATCCACAAATCATAATTCAGTAATTAGAAGGAACAGTATAAACAAATGTAACAGTGTGAATAATATGTTACTATCTTTTTGGTGACTAGGTTGAAACTGGAGTTGTAAACAATGACATCTTTGCTGCCTGGTCTAGACTTTCATCACTGCAGAAAGGTGACAAAAACTCTCGCCTTGTTGGATTTTATAACCTGTTCCACTGCCTACGCAGGGATACAAATAAGGTTGACAATTTTCTCAAGATCCTGAAGTGCAAACTTGTCCATGAAGGCAGCTGCTAATTGTATATCAATTCCCTCTATGTCTGAGATGGTTCTCATGGAAATATCTCTGGACAAGCTTCTTTTAGTTTTATAGCTTTTTAATGTGTGCTTGGGTGTAATGGGTGTCTACATAAAAAAATAAAAACTGACTCTTTACAAGTGTCAAAATCTAGAAAGCCAATTTGTCAAAGTTTCTTTTCTCCATTTAATGTAAAATCAAAAGCAAACATATCACTACCATTGAGAAGTTCCTTTCAAAATTTGTGGCAAATAAGAGAAGCTAAGATTGCAAATAAGACAATTAATAATTAACTTTAGAACCACAGTAAGTTAACATGGGTCATTATTGGAACCCAAAAGTTTCATTACCATTCATAACAATCCCATCAAGAGCACTGAATCCTCAGGATGCTTTATGAAAGTCACCATGTTCTGTGAGCTAACTTTCACAGTGATGAGATAGACATTGCTAGTGCTCTGCAATGGCACAGTCTAAAAATAGTTAAGATGCAAACATACAAAATGGCTCTAGCGTTCTCCAGTAGCTCTTTCCAACCATGCTTTACTGAGTTCCCATCCCATTGGAATCTTTCTGGACACATTCCATGCGTTCTAGTCTCTCTGATTTTCACAAGACCTTTTCACTCAAGTTTCTGCCCCCATTTCATATGCCAAATATTTAAGATTTTCCTCTCTTCCTTTTGTGGCTCAAAGAATATCGGGTAAAGCAGATGTCAGTAACTGAAAGTATTTCGTACTCTTCTTTCTACTGGATCTCTATTCCTTTCTGTGTCAGAATAACATAAATAATTAGGAGAAATAAAATAATTTCTGAGAGCACTGTTTTATGAGGTACTGTGATTGATTTCACATTTTTGACAGGCACTGGACTTGAATTTCTTTTGAGTGACAGATGTGTCTCTGCTGTGGGGCACACTAGTGTGGTTTCAGCAGAAATGGCCTGGTTTGATTTTCCTATCTACCTTGCAGCGCTGTGCTCTGTAGAATCCTTTGCAGCCTCTACTGGAGGTGCATTACTCTAAATGCACCTTACTAAAAAAATTGTCCCAAGTTCAGCAATCAACCAACTTACAGGAAATTCATGCATCATAACCACTCTAAGCAATAGAGTCGCAATAAACCCAAATCACTTCTGAGCTCTCTCTTGGATCTCCACAAATCTCTTCTCCTATTCACATTAACATAGAGAAAATCAGAAAATAGAGTTATTTAGCAGACAATAATCTGAGGAATGAGACACCATTCTTCCCTTCTTTTGAATCCCATGAGTAATTATCTCTATCAACAATTATCTTAGAGAAGCATTCTTACAGGTATTCTCTACTAGGCCACTAAAGGGTAACTCCCACATCCATTCCCAAAAATATCTAATGTTCAGTGTTCAATCTAGGTGGAATTGATTCAATGAGGGTGGCTTAGCTTGTTCACCACACTTTAAACAAGCTAGGATGAGTGCTGATGTAAAGGCCCAGTCTCCATAGAAGTTGTTGGAATTCCCAGGGGGATTTGAAGGAGGGCCATGGTTTCCACTGCAATTTCTAGACAGTACACAATGGAAAACATCCCATTCTACATCCTGGTACATATTAAATAAAAAGATAAAAGAGTGGAATAAAGCCAAAGCTAGAGAGAGGCATAGGGGAGGAGAGAAAGATATGATGAAAGAAAAGGAATAAAAAGATAGAATTGAATGATAAGATGCAGTTAGCATACTGAAATTGGTGAAAAACTATATCTACATTAATTATTAGATCTGAAAGCAAATAGCATCTACTGTTTTCCTTTCACTTCCCTCTTCTGTCTTTCCTGAAATTTTTGTATGTTTTAGGAATATTCTTGCCTTCATCAATTGAGGTGCTACAGTCTCAGCACAGGCAGAACTTGGGACTTCTGCAGGTCACCATTCAAAGAAATTTCTATCTCTTTTTCATAGATAAGAACATACTCTACTAGGACATTTAGGATACAGCACACTTGGTTGTTTGATAAAAATATTACTGACAAACACATACCCAATCTGACTGAAAGGAGGAAGATAAACATCTAAATAAATTAGAGATAAAAAGTGGAGTACCACAGCAACTATCAAAAAATCCAGAGGATCATGAAGGAATATTATAAAAAAACTGTATTCAAATAAACAGCAAACTTCAGATTTCCAGATGCATTTTACCTACCAAAATTGAACCAAGAGGATATAAACCAACTAAATAGATCTATAATATGTTATGAGGTTAAGCAATAACGAAGAATCTCCTAAAGGAAAGCCCAGGACCCAAAGGATTCACTGACAAATTTGACCAGACCTTTAAAGAAGAATTACTACCAGCAATCCCAAAGTTTACCATGAAACAGAAAGGGTAGGAACAGAGACAAACTCATTCTGTGAAGCCAGTATTACATTCATCCAAACCTTAACAAGGATACAGCAAAGACAATTATAGATCAGTCTTTCCATGAAAATAGATGCAAAAATTCTCAACAAGATACATACAAACCAAATTCAACAACACATCAAAAAGATCATATACCATGATCACATTGGATTCACCCCAGGGAGGCGAGGATGGCTCAATATATGCAAATCAATAAATGTAAAAGTGCACACAAATAGAACTAATGACAAAAATCATATGATCATTACAAATGATGCAGAAAAAGCCTTTGGGAAACATTTAATATGCTTTTATGATAACATCTCTATAGAAACTAGGAATAGAAGGAACATACTACAACATAATAAAGGCTATACATGATAAAGCTATAGCCGACATCATAGTAAATGAGGACAAACTGAAACCATTTCCTTTCACGTCAGGATCAATTCAAGGGTGTCTACTCTCCCCATGCTTATTCAATATAATGCTGGAATTGCTAGCCAGAACAATAAGATAAGAGGAAGATACAAAAGGAATTTAAATAGAGACAGATGAGATCAAGTATCCCTATTTGCAAATGACATGATCGTATACCGGAAAGACCTTAAAAATTCCATTATAAAACTATTAGATCTCATAAACACATGCAGCAAAGTGTTAGAATACAAAATCAACACTTAAAAACACTAGCTTTTCTATACACCAAAAATGAAATAAATGAGAATGAAATCAGGAAAACAATTCCATTCATAATACCCACAAAAATATCTAGGAATAAATTTAATGAAGGAAGTTAAAGATGTCCACAACAAAAAAACTACAAGTTTCAGAAAGCAAAAAAGATATTGGAAGATGGAAAGATCTACTCTGCTCATGAATTGGCAGAATTAATATTCTGAAAATAGCTACACCCTCAAAATCAATCTGTATGCTCAATTCAATCCTCATTAAAATTCCCATGACATTCATATATATATAAAGAATGAAATTCTTCATAATGAGAATAAAATAATGTAATTTGCAGTTAAATGGATGGAACTGGAGATCATCATATTAACCTAAGTAAGCCAGGTTCAGAAAGACAAAGGTCACTACTTTCCTCATGTGTGGAATCTAAACCTAAAAAATAAATGTGTATACAAATAAATATATGATCATACATATTATACACACATATACATATTTATAGCATGTTTGTAATATGAGAGTCTTTGAGGAGATTGTGGGAGGTGGGAAAGGAAAAGAAAATGATAGTGAATAGCACTGAAACAAATTGCATGTATAACAAATTTCCTAAAAACTGCTGAATAATGGGGTGTAGGAGGGATAGGGAAAGATAAAGCAATAGAAGGATTAATCTGAGTAAAGTACAATACATTCATGGGTGAAATATCATGGTGAACCCGTTTTGGACAAAGAATTTACACCTAAAAAATGAAGGACAGGCATGTAAAACAGGTCTTGCTCAGAGATGGGTACTAGTGAGAGAGAAGAGGGTGACTGAAGACAACGAATAAATGTGACTATGGTCACTGTATTTTGTATTCTTGTATGAAAACAGAACAATAAAATCTGATGAAATTGTTTTAAGAATGTAGGTGGGGGATTAGCAAGAATGATGGATGGGTGACTTTAACCAAGGTCCATTGCAAGCATATATGGAAATGCCACATTGAAATTCCCTGTACAACAAATATATGATAATGAAATGTTTTTTTAGAAAGGAGGAATGGAAGAATAAAGGCAAAATTCAATTTAATGACCATTAAAAATTAAAGTTTTCATTAAAAATATTGATATACACTTGATAATAAATATTGTACATACTTGGAAAAAAAGATACAGACCTGTTTGTCCCTAGTCTTCAACCTGAAAGTTACAAGAAGCAACCCTAAGAGTTCTCTGATCACTGGTAAGAAGAAAGTCAGCTAGTTTGGACACAAAGACTGGAAAAGCAAAAAAGAAATGCCCAATAGAACAAGCAAACCACCAAACACCCAACAGAACAAGGCACTCAGGCCAAGCATTATCACAATCTAGCACCAAAAGGCACCCTGTATAGAGCCAAACCTCCCATAACTAAACCAAATTCCAGCAGAAAACATGAGAAGCCAGTCAGAATCATGAAGGACATGGATAGAGAAATTCTCTTCTTCCAGGAAAGAATCATTGTGGCTGCCAAACTGATCCTTCAAGAGACACCACACAGACCACTTTGTCTTTTAGCCTTTTGTCCTCCATGGAGATTCCACCCCAGCAAGTGGTTTACCTTAAGAAATGGTGGCCATCTAACAGGAGAAAATCCTATCAAACAAGTGCCTGCCTAGGGAATTCTCCACAAGCCTGAAACTCCCTTCCAGTGCCTGGAAAACTCATTTGTCCAACAGGACCTGAGACTCCAATCTTCCTCTCACAGATTCTGCAGCAGTTGTGGCACCACTAGGGAGATCATGCCACAAGATCTGGCCAGGTTAGCCTCTTTCTCCCTGAAGACCTGGGTGGTGGAGGAGGTGGTGGAGGGTGAGGGTGTGGGTGGGGAAGGTGGTCCAAACAATGTATACACATGTAAATGTAAAACTTCTAAAAGGAAAAAAAAAGAAAGTGTGTTTATTTGGATTT